AGAGGGGCGGTGACTAGTAATAAGGGGGCGGTAATTAGTAACGCCCGTTTTTATTCATTAGAAAAAATGTTTGAACATTTGCAAGTGTGAATTAACTGTTTGGATGATGTTTGGAGTATATAAAAAGGAAGTACTAGCCCTCCTTGATTGACACGTGGCCATCTTACCCTCAAAACAACGTCGTTCAGGTGTTGAGCAAAACGGTGTAGCTTTATTTGTTGATATTATTCATTCCCGTCCAATTATTCCAAAGACGATGCCATCAGTTTTTTTTTTTTCCTCATCCGATTCCTCTAGAAATCTCAATCTGTTGTTGCCGTTCAAATCGAGGCTTGGAGCGACTGGGTGTGAACGGCGAGCGCAATTTCTCTCCCAATTTCAATCACCACCACTTCTGCCCCCAACAAACTTGACGACGAAAGTTTCCTGGCGATGACGAGGCGGAAACACACGGAGAGAGAGAGAGAGAGAGACAACCGTCGATGGCAAGGCGGCGACGACAGAGAGAGCGAGACCCGGCGAGTCGGCGACAGAGAGGGGGAGACACGATGACAAGATCTACGTGTTAGGTTTGTTCTTCTGAGTTTCTGTTATGATTTTCTTTTATTTGTTTAGGGTTAGCATAATCGTTTTTTTATTTTATAATTAATGATGAATAGGAGGTCAATTTTAATTGTTTTTTCAGTTTGAAGTTTTCGATTTTTGCAAATGTGTGCCCAGATTGTTGGAGACTTGTATCAATGGAGACGGAGCAGTCGCCTGAGGACTCGCGTTGCCAGATTGTTGGACATCCTAACTTCACGCAGCGTCAATTTGCTGTTATTGAAAAAGGACCGCAATGTTGGGGTGCGTGGGGATGTCATATGGTAAACGCCGACTTCATCGAAAGACGACAGTGGCGATAGGCGGATGTGCTTCGGCAGCATGTCCAGCGACTCCGATTTCATCCGGACAACCCCGAGAATCGACATGTCGGGGGCCAATGATTCGTCCCGCCTGAGGATGACATGCCATTTATGCGTGCTCAAACACCTACACATGTTTTTTTCTTATAATGGATTTCTGTCCTGGAGAAGAGTTATTTTCGTTGCTCGACAAACAGCCCTTGAAAATGTTTAGAGAGAACTCAACCAGGTATTGCTTAAACTTTTAGTCACTTTTTATTCGGCCTTAAGAGTTGGTGGAATAATAGTGCATATTGATGTGTGTTAAGTATCCTCTCACCTTCAAATAAATGTTTCATCACTCACTTGCATTTTTTATATACCCTAAGTATTTTCATAGTTTAGGTAATTCTTGTAGTCAGATATTATAATATATGGGGAATTTAGTCTAATCACAAGTTAAATATACAAATTACATTTGTAAGACTCATTTGTAAGTTGTTCTTTCCTGCAGGGGGTTTTACAAAGCTTATTAGTTGAATATTTACACTAAAATATAGCTCAATGATATGCTCATCCTTGTTATCTATGACAGGAATAATTTATCGGGAGAGAACACTCAAAGCAAATGGGCATATGGCCATTGTTATATCTTTAAACTAAAAAGATTCAAAGTCAAAAAATTCTACAGAACCAAAAAAAAAAAAAAAAAAAAAAAAAAAAAAAAAAAAAAAAACCTTTCTTTCGAAAATGAATTAGATATAGTGGACAAGACACTTTGTAAATCAATTTAGCACAATCATCCCAATCAATAGAAAAGAATAGAAAAGGTAGATTGACATCACACTTCCTCTAGGCCTCAGGCTTAGCTTGACTGAACCGAACTCATCAATCCGAGCTCGCAGGCCTGACCGGAAAGAATTACACTGGAAGTTCAGAGTGAAGAATAGAATTAGCATTGTTTTTCAACGGCAGTCACTAACCTTCTCAGTGGCGACGATGAGGTAATATTTTTGAATTGAAGCGTTTTCTATCAAATTAAGTCATATTTTCACAGCTTTTGACGTATGAAATTTCTTATATTGTAAATAAAAGCATCAATGTTTTGAGATGTTTGATGGAAATATCTTTGCAGGAAATGGCTGACCATATTATAATCTTCAGGTAGCATTAGAAGCCAATTCGTAATTATCAGTCTGAATAATGATATATTTCATATTATCATGATTTCTTTTTTGTCTTATGCAGTTGGTTTACTTTTGGACATGCTTCGTATCAAAAATTTCTACACATTCTGTGAAGGTGTCATGAGTCCGAGTTCAGTTATTTATTGAACATCGAATTAAACAAGATTATAATCTCGGAATCTCGATCTTATTCGCAATCTTGATCCTCTTTGTGAGGTAAGTTCCGTCTCTTTTGATTTAAGTTCTTTACAACTTAACCAAAAATATTTAAATTGATATTGATGAGTTGGGATTTTTTTTACCTATTTTTAGGCTGATCTTGTATATTGTGAGTTGTGCAGCTATTGGTTGCAAATTAACTGACGAAGGTTTCTAATTTTCATGGAGCCTTAAGATTCTGTAACATCCATCGACGATCAGATGTTTCCAAATTTCTTTTTCGCATGGTTATGTATAGTTATTACTCTTAACGACTTTCGACTACCCTTAATGATCGAACAAAGTCAATTGTAGTAATTGAGAAATTCTTTTCAATTTCTTAGTAAGAATTTGAGTATTTTGATACCTAATGTCAGATTTTTTGTCTAAGATCAAAATCGATATGCTAAAAATTCTGGTGTTTAGCATGTCTATATATATATTGTGCTTGACATGATTTTTGTCTGCCCCTACGAATGATGGAAAATAGGTTCTAAAAATTTACTTTCTATTTCCTTCATATTCAGTGCGATGTTTGGTTTACATGTTATCCTCACAACAAACACATTCTATTACCTCACTTATTATATAAATTATCATACAATAATAAAAACATTAGTAACACACTATTACAGTGGGCCGGTTGTGCATGGCACAGCCGGAGGCTGCTAGTGTTTGGGACAAAAACTTGTTTATACAGTCAATAATTGCTGTGGGAGATATATGTTGGGCCCTACAAAAAATTGAGATAATTACACATTAGTCATGTAGGATTGGTGGAGTGTTGGTAAATGTGTCCTAGAGACAATCATTTTAAGGATATATATATATATATATATGATCACATTAATAATTATAGTGAGTTATAATTATGGTATTGCAATGAGTTAAATAATTATTTGAGTGTTTGCAATTTATTAATTAATTGTTCCCTTGAGTTGATACTGTCATTAGCAGAGTGAGATTTTAATTGATAAATATAACTCTAAAATCGCGATCATTAAGAAAGGGATATTAATGATACGCGATGGATTGACATGTGGTCTGCATCATATTCTTCGAGAATATAGTATGTCTCACTACTATGAATAATTGTTATTCGTGATGGACACATGGATACTTTAGACCCTACCGATAAACCATTTGTTTATGTCTATGGGAGTATTGGTGTGTGGAATGGTGTAATAGTCCTTTGACTTGAGGTCAATACGCAATTCATGTATAGAGTGATTTACTTAGACCTAGTTCAACGCTTACGCCCTTATGGGTAAACACGAGCTTGTGTTGGCTAGATCATAATATACATGGAATTGGTAGTTGAGCCAAGATGAGATTCATTCCTCGAATATAGTTTCGAGAGAACACTCGTTTTCTCTATACTGGGTTGATAAAGTCACTGGCCAGTGCATATGATTATATTTGAAATAGTGTTCAAATGTAAATGATAAAATCAACCAGTAAGATGAGATAAAATGATTAAGCTGTTTGGATAGACACACATCCAAGTCCTAAGCTTCATCGAGTGGGTCGTGAATGAAGGGATCGTATCACTATTGAATTCTACACTAAAGGTTTGTTTGCTTTGTCTATGTAAACGTACTTCATATTTTGAGTCATTCGACGCAGTCTAGGAGTTTCGTAAGGATCATAAATTAGATTTATGTCAATATATGAAGGCATATAGAGTCACACAATATGCAATCTATTTTCTGGCTAAGAGTGAATCGAGAGTGTTAAATATTCAATTAGATTGAAATATTTAATTTAGTAATGAGATTATTTTCTATTAGGTAGTAAATATATAATTAAGTTTAATTGGACTTAGACTTAATTAAAATTATTAGTTGGATTGGGTCCAATTACCTATTGGGCAATAGGTTATTCTAAAGCCCATATAATTAGGTTTAGCCTAATTATAATTAAATAGGTATCTCTTTATCAGTTGTAGGGATCAGATAATTGAGATACGACGTAAAAACCAAACTCTCTCTCTCTTTGGCTTTCTGACTGAGGATTCCTAGCGTCTTCATTAGAAAGGATTCACTGCGTTGGATCGTGCACCGGGATCTGGATTGCGTGGATACCATAGTTGAAGACAAAGCTTAAACTGTAAGTTCTCGCGATCTAGGATCAAAATCGAATAGCTATAACCGGATCTTCTTGTTGGTAAAAAAAATTTAAAATTCCGCTGCGTGTGCGATTGATTCGTACGACTAAAATCCAACACGGAGTTCTAAATTTGACCCAATTTTAGAACCCAAAAGCTCACTCTACAAGCACCCGCCGCGGCCTCCGCCAATGTTTTTAGGTCGGCTGGTCGAACTTGGTCGACCACGGACCAACCAGACGATTAATCGTGATTAATCGTCGACCAGCTAGATTAATCGGGCTGCCTCCTTCCTATATATATCCTAACCCTAACAGGCCAAACAGGCCAAGCCCAACAGCCCACATACCAGCCCAAAAAGACAAATATATGTCCTGGTCGTCCATATGCCCTGGTCGGACGATTAAGCGCGATTAATCGACGATTAATCGGACGACCAGGTTTCTGGTCGAGCTGGTCGGGTCAAACCTCCTAATCGAGCACTTGGGAGCGACCAGGACGATTAATCGCAATTAATCGGACGACCTAAAATCAGGGGCCTCCGCTATCAGGGTTGTTAACGAACTGATCAACGTTCAATAAAAGCTCGTTCAAGTTTGTTTGTTAATCGAGTCAAGTAAAAATAGCAAATTAAGCTCATTTAATAGTCGAACAAAACACAAGCTCATTCATGAACATTCGATAATATTTGTAATCATTAATTTTAATATAAATTTATTTTATTTTTATTTTTATATTTATATATATGTCATTTTTAATATAAAAAATCCAAATATATATTTTTTAAAATAAAAATCGAGTTCATACAGATAGATCTCAAGTTAATCAAACAACTAGTGTACACCCCGTGAGATGCACGGGAATAATATTAAATTAACAATATTATACATAAATCTCGAGTTTGAGTCACTCAATGGCAAAAGTGGAAATTACTATTGATCCTATTTAAAAAGAGGAAGAAAAAAATAATAATTATAAATTAAAGAGGAAAATAAACAATACTTAGTAATTATAAATTAAAGATTCAGAGCCAAACAATGTAAAATTATTTTGTATAATAGAATATAAAATTTAAATTATTTTGTATAATTAGAATATAAAATTTAAATTATTTTGTATAAGAGAATATAAAATTTGTATGTTTAATATTAAGAACACCTAAAACATTATATTAGTATATGTAATAGTATTCGAATTTTTCTATATTATTTTTAAAAGATGTGAAATCACCTACAACTTTTCTAAATAATTTTAGAAGAAAAACATATCTAAAACATTTGAGTTTAACATTGTGTAAAAAAAAATTCTAGACTATTTTGTAAATAAATCATGTCTACATATATTTAAATTTAACATCAATTATGTGTATGTGTGTGTGTGTATATATATATATATATATATATATATAGACGAATAAGTAAAAAAATGTCTAAACAATTTGTTTTAAGTATCTAAGATATCATAAGTCTAATTTAATAAAATCATACCGAATTTATGGTGTTCCATCTAAAAATATTTGATTACACACAATTTGAAAATTATTAGTTTTGATACCAAAAATAATTACAAATATTTATTTTGATACCCAAAAAAAGGAAAGAGAATAACAAATTTTACCCAATAAATCAGTGGATTTGTTACCCTATCTACCCAATAAATCAGCT